AATGCTAGAATGCAGGGAAAGAGATCGGTTGGAAAGACAAGAAAGTGCTGGGAAGACACACTATACAGCGACGCACAAGCCCTTTTAGAAGTCCATGTATGGAGAAGATCAGCCACAGAGAAGCAAGGGTGGAGGCAAAAATAAAGGAGTCCAAGGCTCAATTTGGGCTCTAGTGTCATAGAAGAAGAAGAAAATGTTCTGCTATTAATACATTGTCTGTATATTTTTAGAGGTTAAATCTCTTTTTAAGTCAATTTCTATATTTTTTTATTTGCTTCAAAATATCTTCCATAGGAATCGTAAGGTGCCATTTATTGTGATGGTCATGAACGAAATATGATTTAATAAAATCGTTTTCTATCCTTTTGAGCAATTCGAAAATTGAAAAGTTTGTTAAACTTTCCATATATATACTTATATAAAATAAAGTCCTAAATCGTGTTAGTTACACCATTTATAACTCAAAAACTGCTGTTAACGATTTTAATGATATTTGTTTTTTTTTGGTAGAATCACCAATAAAATATATCATAAAATTTCACACCGAAAAAATAATTGTGATCTTAGGAGTATTTTTAGTTGGTAACACTGCAAGAACTATAGGCCAAAATTATTTGTTTTGTTTTAAATGATTCAAGTTATTGACGGAGCATCGTAAAAATAATAAAAACATTTTATTAGATTTTCATGTTGTTTGTGATTTTTTGAGAAAAAACATTTAACTTGTCAATTATTTTTTTGTTTTACAATATTACAAGGTCCTTGAATGACTGAAACCCATTCAGCATATGATTATTTTGTTGCCACATGAATTAGCACCTTTTGAAAGTTTATTAAACTTAATTAAATTGTTCTGTATGAAGTTCACCAGGTAAGCTAGTCTATCATAAATTTCTATTTTGAAAATATTTGAAAGCAAAATAATTAGTGCCCAACTCTTTCGAGTCATAAAAAATTGGTTGTACATACAGTGTAGGTAAAAGTTTATGGTCGGTATGGTAAAATTTAACAGGATATCTAACACAGATATAAAATCATATTTTTAGCGAATAGACAAAGAAAACAATCATATTTCTTCTTAGTCTCCCCTCCATAAATCTTATTGACGCCCATTGCCCATTAGTGAGACGATTAGTTCCGATCAGAGATATTTTACGTATTCTCTGGTCCCGATCCTAATATAGCTAAGAAACTAGAGGTGGGTCCTCTAGTTTTTTAAAATTCTTATCGGAACCGTTTTTCGTAAACTGTAACTAGTTGATTGTTTACCAATATTCAAATTAGCGAGTACACAAACATATTGGCTATTATCATTTATGTGTATAAGTATTGAACTGAAAGAAACTAACGAAGGATATTATTAGTTATTATAACTTGAAAAATAAATTCAACAATAGAAATAGTAATTAAATTTACATTACACATTATTAAATCGCGAATCGTCTAAATTGACATTTAAAAACATAAGTTTTTCCACTTCTCTTGTTAAACGTATTCTTCTTTTATTTAAAATTAATCGAGATTTAGAACATGTGTTCACAAGGAACAGATTTTGTTACAATACTACAATATTTTATAATGGTTAAGTTAGGATATACATGGCGATGGTTTTTCCACCACAGTAATGGACAGTTCCAATCTCTGTTCGAAATTTTTTGTGAGTAATATCAGACAAATACATGTCGACTTCTTTTATATCTCTCGATGCAGGTGTATGTTTAGATGAGTCACGTCCAATTAATTCATCAAAAATACACAATGGACTTAGTCATCTTTATCAATTTCTTTTTCTTGTACTGGATGATTTTCAAGATTTACTAAAGTTACTAAAGCTTTACTAAAGCAAAGACTTGTTTCATCGGTTTTTCATAGTTGAAGAACGAGCTTTTAAAAAGTTTGCAAGGTGGATTCCTGGATATAAACCGCCAACAAGATAAACTTTGTCAGGTTCATTCTGTAATGCGATTTGGAATAATTTTCTGGGGGGGAAGTGGTAACGCTGAACAGGTTTTTATATTACAAAAAAGAGCAATCAGAACTCTACTTAACTTGAGATACAGAGATTCATGTAGAGGTAATTTCAAAAAGCTAAACATACTAACAATGGCTGGAACATACATATATGAATGCTTACTTTTCATTTTTAAAAATAGACATAAATTCTTGAAACACATAACAAACCATAATACTAATACACGAAACATTCTCATAAACTATAATATACCAATACATAGACTAACAGCATCTGAGAAAACCACAGAATATGCCTGTATTAAATTCTTTAATAAACTGCCCTACAGCATCAAAATAGAAACTGACGTAAATAAATATAGAAAGTCTGTTCAACAATTTCTCATACACCTTGAACCATACAAAGTGGAAGAATACCTTCAAGCTGACCTGTAGGCAGACTAGGGGCTCTTACCTGAATCTAAATGTCACTGTCATTATCATTAAGTTTTAATATTACATTTATGTTAAGTGTAGGTTGTTACAGCAACCATTATAAATTGTAACTGACACCATTCTCTCTATTGACAATTTATATTTGTATGTAACTTGTGAATCCTGAGAATAAAGCTTTTTTCTATTCTATTCTATTCATTACTTCAGGAATGTTATATCAAAACTGAGCAAATTATTAGATCACAAGTTGTTAAAGAAGTAGAAAATATATGTATTACTACTGACCTCTGGACATCTGGAGTAACTGAGAGTTACATCTCATTAACAGGACAATATTTAACCGAAAATTTAGAATCTAAAACGATTTTATTAGACTGCTGCCATTTTTCTGGAAACCACAATTCAGAAAACATCGCTTCTGAAATTAGTGAAATTATTAATCAGTGGGGTCTAAAACGAAAAGTAAATTTTGCAGTAACTGATAATGCCTCAAATATGGTCAAATATATTAAAGATGTTTTGGAATGAAAACATTTAAATTGTTTTGCTCATACGTTAAATTTATTGGTGGAGAACGCACTTAAATGCTGTTGTGTACAAATAGATAAAATAAAAAGTCCTTTTTTCGACAATTCGGCAAAAAGCACATTTCAAAAAAAGTATCTTATCTTCAGAAAGGCTTTTAAAGTATTAATTACAACATAACAAAGTTCCCAAACGGCCAATCCAAGACGTGGAAACTAGGTAGAACTTCACCTATTACATGTTAAAAAGATTGACCAAGACGTTAGAAGAGGCAATCCGTTCCACACTTAATTAGTTAATACAGACTTAGACCAAATCTAAATAAAGAACACTGGATTATTGGTTCTCAACTTTCCCAAATTTTACGGCCGTTTAAAGAAATAACAAGTACAATGAGTGGCCAAAAATACTTGAAGTGTAGTTCAGTGATTGTTATGGTATGCTGTCTGCAAGAATCTTATGTACATTTATGGATTCACGATTTAAAGTGCAGGGTTTTTCCGATGAAAATGAAGCTAAAAAAACAAAAAAAAAGAGTTAAGAAGCTGGTTACTTCTATAATTAAAAAACAAGAAGATTGTACTATTGAAAATCAACCAGTACAAGAAAAAGAAACTGATAAAGATGACTTAAGTCCATGGTGTATTTTTGATCAATTAATTGGAGATGACTCATCTAAATGTACACCTGCATCGAGAGTCCATTACAACAGTGGAAAAACCATCGCCATGTATATACTAACTTAACCACTATATTCATAAAGTATTGTAAATGTGAACACATGTTCAAAATCTGATTTAATTTTAAATAGAAAAAGAACACGGTTAACAAGAAGTAAAGTAGAAAGACTTATGTTTTTAAATGTCAATTTAGACGATTCGTGATTTAATATTAACATGTAATGTAAATGTAAGTACGATTTACTATTTGTATTGTTTTGTTTATTTTTCAAGTTGTAATAAATATATCATTAGTTTCTTTCACTTCAATAAGTATACACATAAACGATAATAGCCATTATGTTTGTTTATGTAGATACTCTTTTACTTGAAACTACTTTTAAACAATCATAGTAACTTGTTTACGAAAATTGGTTTAGTTGCGTTAAGAGCGTAGGCGGAAAATTTAAATGCAGAATGAAAGATTAAATTATTACCGAGGGTCGAAAGTCCCTTAGAATAAACAAAAAGTTTTTTAAATGAGATATTTGAAATTAAAAATCACACTAAATTTTCTCTTTTTTTCACCCCTGTAACTTATTAAAATAAAGATTATAGAAGTTTTCAGGGACTTTCGGCCCACGGTAATAATGTATTGTTTCATTCTGCATTTACATTTTTCAAAAATATTTATTAGTTTTCTCAGGACTCGAAAAAAATGAATGCATTTAAAAGCATTGGCCCGAAATTTTGCGCCTACGCTCTTAACGATAAAACCGTCAACGAGTTTCAACGAGTTACAACGAGCCACCTCTACTACTCGTTACCCTACTTTGATTCGGTGCTTTGACCAGACAGACGTTACCAAATAATTGTGTCTTAAGATTTTTTAATGTGGCGTTATTGTATGCAGTTTATTATTTCATATTGGGAATAAGGCACAATATGACTTTAAAATAAGCTTATTTTGATGTTTAGATTTTTAATTTGGAAATCATACTTAAATTACAAAACATTAATAAATTTTATTTATATAAAACTATTTCCGAAGTGAAAATTAAAATGTTATATTACACTTATTGTAAAGTAAACTTGTGGCATATTCCCAATAAAAAACAGTAAGCTGCCATTTAAATCCATTTCACCCAAATTTGATTATCTTAGAACATTGTTCAAATGCTAAAAAGACAACAGGTCAAATAAAACCAATAAGTTTGGCAACATTGAACTTCCCCTTTTTTATTATATCCAGGCATGCATGTTTGGAGATATAAAGGGTGGACCTAATATACCTCTCTCTTTTTAAACAGGTGTTTCTCACTCCATCTCAAGTAAGGTCCATACTGACCATAAACTTTTACCTATACTGTATAGATTTCATAATATGTAAATAAATAAAAAATGTCTTACCGATTGTTGGATCATGATAGTCCAAAAAACTGTGGCTAACAAATTGCAAGGTTACCGCTAAAACAAATAAATATTAACTCTATATTAAATTTAATAAGTAAAAATAACATAAACTGATATGATAATTAAAACTAATAAATACAATATAATAAAAATAGTACATAATTAGGGAAATGTGAAGATAATAGGACATTTTCATTATATACTGTTGAATCATAGTTAATTGTTATAATTATTTAAAAAGCTCCAAATACTGATAAAACAAGTATTGTAAAGATGATGCATTTACTTGACATAATCCTTATCAAATATAGTAAAAAGATCAACACTATCTATTACTAAATAGCTAAGTCACAAAATGCTAAATGATATTGAAACATCTATTGTCTAGAGAAGAGTGAAGAAAAGAAAATATGCAAAGATGCCGCACCAAGCCAAGGATGAAGCATAACAAAAATAGACTTAACATTTTCAATTAGAAATACTTAAGTGCTTATGCTTCAGTGCTGCAATACTTATAAGTGCTTCAACTTATCAGAGTTGGACATTAATTTAGTAGAAGTATTTTAAGTATACTGCAACATTTCATGGAAAGAAGTTCAAAAAGAACTTTTAGAATTAAAGAAATCTCCGTTCTGTATAAGATTTCATCAGATCAAGTAAAAGTAGAAATTTGCTTGCAATTCAGTTGCTATAAAGTTTCTAGTATACATTTAAATTTGACTTCTATAATAAATAAATAAATATTTATTAAGTAAATAAAAAATAGAACTTAAGTATGTATTCTGAATATATTTAGAATAAATGTCTTATTTTACCTGATTTTCCTACACCCCCATCACCTAAAACCACAATTTTGTACACTCTTATTCCACTCCTGGTCTTGTCTTGAGTGCTGGCACCTGCTATAGGCCTATCGACGTCTATTTCTGAATCTTTTCCTGATCTATTTGACTCCTGTCGTGATATTTTTCCTTTTTTCTTATGACTTGCCTCTCCGGCCATGTCCTATAAGTGAGGTCCTGACTTGTCAAGTAGAAAATTAGGAGCGGTAACTAATTAACAGCATGGAACTGGAAACAGAGGAGAAAGAGGGGCCATAAAGAGATTAATTAGTACGTTTTGCAAGCCATAATTAAATTTAATTACTAATTATGCGAAATACACACACAACTGTCAAGAAAATGCACATGAAAATACCCCCACACAAAACCCAACTACCGATATCCCATATCCCTCCCTACTACTACGATTTTTAGAATCCCTTGATGAGACGCTGTCACTGTCAGTTGTCATAACATTATCACAGATTTTTAGGAAACAATTTACTAGAATGTGTGTTTATAATTTTGTTTATGAAATTATTAGATAACATGTGTTGTTTATTTTTATACAGTTGAAACACATTTGACCGCAAACGCAAATTATAAAACCAAGAATATAATAAGGACAATGGAAGCAAGTAACTGACGTTCCCACAGAGTTGTAAGACAGGGTCGGATTATATCTTTTATAGAAATTCATATTAAAAAGTCTGGAATATTGGAATATTTCATCTCTTTATTGATTTTTATATATAAACTCTTCTAAATAGGAAAACATCGTTTTGTTTTAATTCTCAACAATACTAAATAAATCTCAAAACCAGATAAACGATATGTAAAAAAATTATTTATTCTCTTGGAGTGAAAAACTTACAATGTACAACTTACATTTAATAATAAATTAGTATAGAAAAAAATAATTTTTAATAAAACTAATAATTAGTATTTCCTCCATTGGCCTGTATGCATGTCTGTAGGCGATTTGGCATGCTGTCGATTAACTGGTCGAGCTGGGCTTGCGGAATTCTCTCCCATTCTTCACGAGCAGCATCTTTTAGTTCTGGAAGTGTAATAGGAGGATTGTTTCGCTTCTTGATGCGTTCTTTCAGAATGTATCAAGCATGTTCAATAACATTCATATCGGGGGAATTCGAGGGCCACTGTAATGTAGATATTCCTTCTTCTTCCAGAAAATTTTGTACTGCTGCTGTTCGATGAGGAGGTGTGTTGTAATGCATAAACACAAATTCTTCACCTACTGCCCCTCGGAATAGACGTATGACAGGATTTAAAACTTCCTCAATGTACACAGCACCAGTGACTCTTCTCTCCAGAACTACCAGTGGCGTCCGTGTACCACTCATAATACCACCCCAAACCATAATACTGCCACCTTCAAATGCGACACGCGGTTGGGCTGTTTCTAGTCGGGCTTGTCATCCTGGGGCCCTCCAAACCAGTGTTATTCGCGAATCAGATACCAAGCCAATTTTGGACTCATCAGAGAACATCACGTTATTCCAGTTAGGACCATGATGCACCATTTCTCTAGCCCATTGCAACCTTACTATTTTGTATTGATAGGTTAGTTTAGGCACACGTAGCGGTCTTCTACAATACAAATTTACTGCATTTAGTCTGCGTGTTATTGTTTGCCGTGAAATATTCAGTATTTGAAGCCTAGAAATTTCTCTGGATATACCACTTGTATATTTCATACGATTTCTACGAGCTATCAATATTATTTGCCGGTCTTGTGCTGCTGTTATACATCGACTTCTACCACTTCTAGGACGATCCTTGACGTCATTTGTATCTTGGATTTTTTTTTTCATTTTCGATACAGCACTCTTGCCTGGTTGCACCAACATATCTTAAGCTTCAGACGTGCCTTAAGCTCAGCTTACGCGTACAACATTGAGTCATTTAAAACTCTTTTCATCACTGAATCATTGACAAGTTGCATTTCAGTTAAGACGGCGTTAGATAAGAATTGAAAATTATGGTCCAACGTAAATGAGAGTTAAGGTGGCCCTAGCTATAAGCGGAGCTGGGCTAAGCTAGAGCTTAAGATCTGTTGGTGCAACCAGGCATCTGAATAATATCAACGATATTCGCCATATAACTTTGGCTAAAGCCCTTTTGTAACAAAGCCACAGAACAACAAAGTTCGGTGTTGTTCGGTGACAAAGCAATTACTCTAGATCTGTCAACATGAGATATCACGTTTCTAGGCATTTTTACAAAAACTATTCAATTTTTTTTTTCATTTTCATTTAAAAACGCTCTAGAATTGACATTAACAACAATTTTAAAACCACCATAGGCGTAGATATATTATTTGTACGTATTCCAAACTTTTGGATATATATGTGTATATAAGACTTTTTAATTTCTTTAAAATCTAATTATTATTTTTCTTTTTGGGTATATATGATTATTTTATTAGCGCCTTTATGATTTACTACATGTCTTAGTTCGAAACAGTTCCATTTTTTAAAGGACATCTTAATATTAATAATTTTTATTTGTTTTCCCAAAATAAATGTATTTACTGTACCTAATACATTTTATACATTTACATTATAGTTTTAATTTTAGTAAATCTGTATTCTAATAACATAAATTATTTTTATTCTATATCTTCGTTGACTATTAGACGCCTCAAAACAAGTCACAATCTAATAATTTTCTGTTTGAAAAGTACTTAATTGTAGTTTGGCCGTCTATTAGGAATGTCGGAATTAAGATTGTCAACAAGCATGTCTCATTAGACTCCACCACCGATCCACCAGATTAAATGCGATGTTGAAATGAGACACACAATGCATAGTAGACACCTTGAAGAGGAAACAGTGTTGACAAGAGGTTTGGAGAAGAAGATTCTGGAAACAGTTTCCAGCAGTAGAGAAAATGCAATAAATATATTATGATTGTCTTAGAATTCATGATTCTATACTCGATAAACTATATTTTCTTCCTAATTGAGTTAAAGTCATTGAAGATTATTCCGAAATATATACCCAAGCAAATTAAAATTCACAAAGATCAATTTTTGTCCCATATTAAGACTGTGGATGAATTTAGTGACTGATTAAAAAAAATTGTTGACAACGATTTCTAAATTGGAAGTAGAAATGTCAAATAAATGTATTCAATCAAATTTTTGGTAATTTCCATTCAATATAGTAGATAATTTAGTGGAAGGCCACTACCCGGTAATCAAACTAAAAGAAAAAATTCTGCCGAGTGTAGATAATTATAAAATTCTTGGCTTAACTTTTGATAATAAATCAAAACTGGAGACACTAGTACATAGCAAAACTGAGAGAAATTGCTTTAAAGAGACTAAATTAATGTCATCAAACTTTTATGAAAATGTCAATGGGTGCAGATGAATCTCTATTACTTAATATGTATGCAAGTTTAATACGCGACACTGTAAAGAAACTAGCCAAAAACAAATCACCCGGAATAGATAATCTCCTAGCAAAATTATATAAAGAAGGTGGCCACGATATCATAATAGCGCTACAGCAGGTTATAAAAGAAATATCGATACAGAAGTCCCTTCCCAGTGATTGGAATACTTTGCACCATACACAAAAAGGGAGATATCTTTGAATGCTCTAACCATCGAGGAATTACGCTCCTAAATGCAGCGTATAAAATATTTTCCAATATACTATGGCACCATATGCAGAGCGAATAATAAGACAATTGAAAAAGTTGAATCCAGGGGGAACTCTCTGAACCTTTTAAAACAAATAACGGGCTACGTCAGGGAGACCCACTCTCCTGTATACTATTCAATCGAGCTGTGGAAAAAGTAATACGTACGTCACAAATCACAACTACCGGTTCAATATATAACAAATCTGTGCAAATCCTAGCATATGCTGATATCAATATTGTTGGGAGAACGGAAAACGAAGCACGAAAGGCGTACGTAGCACTAAAGGAAGCGGCTACAAAAATAGGTTTAATAATAACTTCTAGAAAAGTAATACGTATGTCACAAATCATAACGATTAGTTCAATATATAATAAATCAGTACAAATCCTTGCCTATGCTGATAATATTATTGGGAGAACGGAAAACGCTCTACGAGAGGCGTATTTAGCATTAAAAGAATCAGCTACAAAAATGAGTAATTAATAAACACCAACAAAGTGAAGTATATGAAAATAAGCATACGACCACTTGTTATAGAAAACGACGTCATCGAAGCAGTTAACGAATTTGTATGCCTGGGAACGCTCGTCAATACTGAAAATGACACTACCGCAGAATTTGCACGGCTAATAGATGCTATTTTGGGCTTAATCTCCTTTTTAAATCTACAGTTATATCAAGAAATACAAAAGTAAAACTCTACAAAACAATAATATGCCCAGTCCTAACATATGGTTCAGAAACCTGGACTTTAACAAAAAGCAATGAAAACATGTTGGGATGTTTCGAAAGAAAAATACTAAGGAGAATCTATGGAGAAGACGATACAACTTATAACTCTATAGAATATACCAGGAACCAGATATCGTAAAACACAGTAAGAAAGGACGTCTGAGGAGGGTAGGCCATGTAATGCGGATGGAGCAAACCAACCCAGCTAGAAAAACGCTCCTTGATAGACCTATTGTTCAAAGAAGAAGAGGAAGACCCAGAACAAGAGTCCTAGATAACATAGATCAAGATATGAGAAATATGAAAATACGTGCTTGGTGGAGGAAGGGGATGGATAGGGACGACTGGAAAAAAAATTCTTGGAGAGGCTAGGACCCACGCAGATTTGTAAAGCCAAAATGATGATGATTATGAGTTTAATACGCTCCCAATAAAACTATGGCGATATAGTATACATATCAGCCCGAAAAAATCCAAAATTCCGCACTCAGAGTATGCGTACGAGCTTTTAGATCTAGTCCTAGTACAAAGTTAACAAACCCACACATTCGATAAAATGGCAATACGTTTTTTCGGACGCCGTCTCTCGGAATCTCTTATTTGACTGTTTCTGGTTCTCTGATATAGCCCCATTGTATGAAATTGTTCCTTGGCTACCGCATATCCAGCCACGAAGGCTGATTATGGCTTTTTGGCACAATACTTCAGCTTTATATATATATATATATATATATATATATATATATATATATATATATATATATATATATATATATATATATATATATATTATATGCAATGCATTTTGAATAAAATTATTTTGTACATACTAGTGCTACATTGTTATTTTCCTCCGTCGATTGAGTTCTCGGAATTCTCACACTAGCCTAGAGTTCAACTTAGGTCTTCTAGATGGCAGCTTGACTATCTTCAAGCTACACAATGCAAGATTGCAAAGTCTCTGCTTAC